AAACCAAGTAATTTACACGTATTGGGATTTTTTTTATTAGCAAAGACATGTAGCAGAATACATTTTGGCCTAAATTTATGAAAAAATTAATTTTTTTATTGGATATGTTTTATGGCAAAAAGTCAAAAATATTGATTTTTTTTCTCAAAATTGTAGGTCTTTTTTGTTTATAATGCAAAAAATAAAACATTTACAGGTGATCAAATACCACCAAAAGAAAGCTCTATTTGTGGGGGAAAAATACATACATTTCATTTATGTACAGTTTTGCATGACCACACAATTGTCAGTTAAAATACAGTGCTGTATCACAAAAAATAGCCTAGTCAGGAAGGGGGGGGGGGGGGGTAAATCCTCTGGAGGGCAAGTGGTCTATTGCCAATTTTTTTCATGCATGTTAAGCAGGAAAATGTTAAAATAAAAGTCAGACTTCCTGTTTGCTGCTAGATTCACTCTCTCCATCTGCATGATGAGCTCCGACATGTTTAGATACTAGTCTGAACCTTTCTGAGCTTTCCCACCAGGAAGCTGTCACTGCAGACAGCCAATGAAAAGCGTCGAGGCATTCACCGCCCCGCAGCTGCATGTATACAATGGGCTTTTCATATTTAGAACAATCATTAAAATAAAAACAAAGTGATTTTTTTAAATAATGGAGTCACATGAGGCTCAGTTCATTCAGCCGTACAGCATATGTCATTTGTCATACTTACAGTAATATTTAGCTGTATGAAAACCCCACAGGTTGTTATTGCCAAAAACAACAGTCATTCTGTCAAATGAACTTTACAGCTCAGTGAATAGAGTCTTCCTTAAAGCAGAACTACAGTAAACTAACTCAATCAACATTACTGTGATAGCATTAGTAACTAGATAGGAAGGTATATTATAATTACGCGTGTTACATTTTTGTCCACTCTTCAGTTGCTTCCTGGTTTCCAGTCTAGACCAAAATGATGTCATACATCTCAGGAGTCTTTGTGGGCTTTCTCAGCTAAACACACCCTCTTGTTGCATGCTTGAGCTAAGGTCAGATGGATTCCAGGAAGTAAATGCTACATGAACCATCTGCCTTTTCTCAAGATGGCTGCAGCTAAAAATGCTAGGGTTTGTTTTTTTTTCAACTTGAATTCTTAGCAAAATACAGCCTGGAGACATGGATGGATGAGTGAATTTTCTTTGAATATTAAAAATGAATTCATGATTTCATCTGGGCTCATAAACCTCCCAGGTTGTCTCGGAACTTGTTAAGACTCCCAAAGTTGCTGGGGGGTATGGAGTTACTGGATGTGGGGTTATATCACAGTGCATGCCACCTGACCAGAGTGTTGGACTGGTGTAAGCACGGGACGTTGAAGCAGTGGGTACGCCTGGAACAGTCAATAGCGGGATTACCGCTCAGTTCGCTGCCTTGGTGTCAGGAGGACCTGCCGTTAGCGGTTTTGCAACACCCTACGGTGGGAGAAACGTGGAAGGTGTGCCACAAACTATTTTGACCATACCCTCCCCTCTGACCCCCTTTGTGGGGAACCCTTCCTTTAGTCCAGGTCTACGAGAGCAGAGATTTCAGGTCCTGAGATCGCTGGGATTCTATCAGGCCTGGCATTTTTTATCACAGAATTGTTGGATCTCCAGGAGCCATCTGTCTGAGTCAGCGTCATTTGCGGGATTATCTTTTTGGCATAAAGTGCAGTTATCTCATTTCCTTGGAGCACTTCCGGCTGCGCAAGCAGTTCGGCGGGCACTTACTCCCTTTGAGATACTTTGTTCGGAGGATTCCCCAATTCGTCGTGCGATTTCTCAAATTTATCAACTTCTGGTATCCCAGTCTTCATTGTACGAGTTACCTTATATTGACAAATGGGAACAGGACTTGGGACTATGTTTTACTGATGCACAGGTAGAGAGGCTTCTCATATTCTCTTTTAAATTGTTGATCTGCTCTAAGTTTCAGGAGTCAGGCTTTAAACTGCTGATGCGCTGGTATTACACTCCGGCTAAATTGCGAACGATGTTTCTCATTGTAGTGATCGATGCTGATGGTGTGGGGAAGATTCTGGTTCCTTGCTTCACATTTTTTGGTCCTGCCCTCATTTACAGGGATTTTGGACGGTTTACACTGTATCGCTCAAAAATTTACTAATCATGTACTAATCAAGGACACAGCTTTTTATCTTTTGCATTATCACTGTTTTCCAGAAAGGTCCTACAGGCGCTCTATTCTACCTCTATTGTTGACTGAAGTGAAGAGCTGCATCCCCATGTTTTAGAAACAGAGAGTGGCAGAAATGAATGCCATGGAGGATATGATGGCAATGGACAGGGACAATCAGTAACACTTCCTTAAGAAATGGTATTATTGGCACGAGTTTATATAGGCTTCCCTAGTGGTATGATTCGTTGGGGTTCTGCTCTTGGTCCTGAGAAACTGTGGGTTTGGCCCAGGAGGGGATGGTGTTGTATGTATTCCCCCTTCTGTGCCCTATCCTGGTCTTTTTTTTTCTCCCTTTGTTCTTTTTCTTTGTGGATTTTCTGATTTTATACTTTTGCTTCTTTCGGGGCATCTCCTCTGTCTAAAATAGGAAAATGTGCGGTGCAGCTGGAGGCACAGGTACCCTTCTGATAAAGTCAAGTGCCCTTAAATATTTTGATCATCTTTCATGTGCATTGTTTTGCCTTGAGTGATTAGGCTCGAGAGTACAATGGTAATTTAGAATCTGGTCTACGTCCTATTTGTCTTTGATCTCTGATGACTTACTGCTGATATTTGTTGTACTATGCTCCTGTATATCTCTTTGGATACTGTTATGTTTGTACTGCTGTCAAAAGCTGCAACTAAATAAAGAATTTACAAAAAAAAAATTAATTCAATTGCGTCTTCAGTTTGTTTGTGCTCAGATACAGTTTAGTTCCGCTTTAATACTTCATAGTCTGGTAAATGGACAGTCTGTATCAGGGGCGGACTGACAACTCATGGCGCCCCCAGGCAATAGGGGATTATGGGGCACCTATGTCCTCGCCCACACTCAAAACCACACCCAAAAAAGCCTATGAAAGGTACCAGGGGCATCTCATGGGGCCCCTTACTGACCCCGGGCCCTCGGGCAGTGCCAAAGTTTCCGAATGGTCTGTCCGCCCCTGGTCTGTATTACTAGTCATGCTAGTATTCTTAGGTGAAAATTTCTTGGGTGTATTCTCAGTGATATCACTGGTCTCTATGAAGAATGCCTAAGCTCTATTGTTATAGATGTCATTGGTCTATACTTAATGCCACCAATGATAGGGCCACGTTTCTACCACTGACCACCAATAGCGGGGCTATGTCATCTCCGCTGAACACCAATGATAGGGCCACATTGCCCCCACTGAATACCAATGCAGGGACATATTTTTCTTCCACTGACCACTATTGCAGGGGCATTTTCACTACCACTGATCTCTGAGGCTGGAGCAATGTTTTACTCCTACTGGACACAATCCGGCTTGAAAATAGTTTGCCAGACAGTGAATGGACCCTTTGTTTGAAATGTTTTGGACCCATGATTTAGTGAGTAGATAGACTGTATTTTCAGCAATATCACCGTTTTCCTCTCCATGTTTAATTGTTCTGTCTACTATCCAAACATGCTATAGATATGTAAACTTTAAATATTGGAGTGTCTATAAAGTGTACATATAGCCAAAACTTTCTTGAATATTTACGTGTGTTTGTGTTTTCATTTAGATAAAGCCATGTATAATTTAATCTAGTGTATCAAGACCATTGTGCATTCGTTCTTTGAACAAAAATATACACAGACGTACTAACCAGCTCAACACTTCCAGTAAGTTGATTCTGGGGGAGACTCTAAAGTTCTTTAAATATAGAAATCACATGACAACTGCCTGAGGTTTGTATGGTACAGTATACTGTTATTAAGGGCCTTAGGAGCAGCCTCACACTTCCCTATCCACTTCATTTGCATTTTTTATGTAATGCAACAAAAACACAAGTACTGAGAGTGAGTTGTACTTAGGTTTTTGGAAGAAAACAATGACTTCTTTGTTTGACTGCTGAGAAATGTTCCCTCCTACACTTATCATTGGTAGATTCCCATTCAACTCTCCATCCCCTTTTACTTTCATTATCTGTATGAAAGTATCTTCCTGAACAGGAGGTTGTTTAGGCAGCAGGGGAACCCCTTATCAGCGGCAGCCAAAGCCTGAGATGGGATGGTTACAGATACTAATTTTGCATCAGCAAGTGTTCCGAGGAAAGTTTTGACTAATATTCCTCTCATCCAGCACATAACAGAAAGAAGAATTGGTGGAGAGAGAGATGCACAATTATACAGAATTTATGGGTGATTTTTTATGACATATTGGATTATTATTCAATGACGTTTTTTTAACATTTCAATAAAAGTGAATCATCAATATAAGTCGGTGTAAAAAAAATTTGGCTTTAAAATGTAATTTAACCGCTAGCCTACAGGGCACTTATACCCCCTTCCTGCCCAGGCCAATTTCCAGCTTTCAGCGCGGTCACACTTTGAATGAAAATTGCGCAGTCATGCAACATTGTACCCATATGAAATTTTTATCATTTATTTGTGACAGAGTTTTATTTTGGTGGTATTTAATCACCTCTGGGTTTTTTATTTTTTCTTAAACAAACCAAAAACCACTGAAAATTTTGGAAAAAAAAAATGTCTTCGTTTTTGTTATAACATTTTGTAAATAAGTGATTTTTCTCCTTCACTGATGTGCGCTAATAAGGCTGCAGTGATGGGCACTGATAGGCTGCACTGATGGACACTGATAGGTGGCACTGATGAGGAGCACTGGTAGGTGGCACTGATGGGCATTGACAGGCATCACTGATATATGGCACTGATATATGGCACTGACAGGCACACTGATAGGTGGCACTGACTGGCACTGATAAGCGGCACTGATGCGCACTGATAGGCGGCACTGACTGGCACTGATAGGCAGCACTGACTGGCACTGATAGGCAGCACTGATTGGCAGGACTGATAGGTGGCACTGACTGACATTGATAGATGGCACTGACTGGCACTGATAGGTGACATTAAAAAGCAGCTCAGATGGGCACTGATATGTGGCATTGATGTGCACTGGTGGGAACTGGTATGTGGCATTGATGTGGCACTGATGGGCACTGGCACGAGGCACTGATGAGCACTGACACAAGGCACTGATGGACACTTACAGGTGGCACTGCTGGGGCTACACTGATCATCAGGGCACACTGATCATCAGTGTCCTGATGATCAGTGTACATGTCCCCTCCGTGGAAAGCCGATTACCGGCTCTCCTCTCGAGATGACAGCTCAAGAGGAGAGAAATGCTGATAACCAGCATTTCCCTGTTTACATGTGATCAGCTGTGATTGGACACAGCTGATCACATGACCGAGCCGACATCTTCGGCTCTTTCCGTGATCGGTTAGAATGGGGGGACGTCATATGACGTCCTCCCAGAACGAGAGAACCACCTTGCGTCCATCATATTACTGTATGGCGGGCAGGAGGTGGTTAAACAAAAAAGAAACTGCATCTCATAACAATTTACAATGCTTGTTGAATTTTTCAGGATGTCTCTTGTCCCACTTTTTTCTGCACTAGTCAAACCATGAAACACTGCAACTCTTCTAGAAAGTTCACTCAATTTACTTTAATAAGCTCAACAGTTCAGTGCAATTTTCTGCAGCCAGATTAATGAGAGTTTCTCGTGTGCAAGGTGCATCTGCTTTCTGTAGTCCAGGGGTGGACTGACCATTTGGAAACTCGGCCCCGGTACCTTTTTCATAGGCTTTTTTGAGTTTGGGCAAGGACACAGGGGCCCCATGATCCCCTATTGCCCAGGGGCCCCATGAGTTGTCATCAGAGCTTCAGGTTGGTAATATTATAAACCAGTTACAGCACCCTTGGAGGACAAAATGCGTAAGAAAGGGCTTTGGAGGTGACGTCGCCACGCACGTCAGGTTGAGGTAGCGGTAATCGGTGAGACCGGAGACAACCTGATTTTAAATCTATGCTTGATTTACTGGTGTCGGTGGCGTTTTTTAACTAATAAAGTGTTTTAAATGGTTTTACGCTATGGAATTTCCCTCTTTCCTTCCTTTGACATGGCTTTATTAATATTAATGAGGAATGCTCAGCCAAGGGGTTATAGGAAAAAGACTGACATCTCTGCAGATCTTTGCTCCCAGAGCTAATGCGCTGTAGCTGGTTTATAATAGTACCAGCCTGGAGCTCTGGTGAGTTTATTTAATACATTTGGTGGCGGAGCAGCACTGTGTGGTGGTGAAAATTAAAGAAAGCACAATAATTAATTACATAAATTGGTGGACGTTTATCGCAATATATATATATATATATATTGTGACAGTATGAACGGCAAAGTGATGGATGGACGATATGTGTCACCTCGCATGAGATCATAATGTGAGGTGTAAGGTGGTGTCCACTCCGGGTTTTCGGGGCCACAATGGCAAAGGTGGTTCCGGACCAGAGTTTGGGCTCCACTGATGTCCACCAACAGGTGATATAAAAAGGGCAGGGCTGGAGCAAAGAGTCGCTCCTGGCCTGGGACTCAGAGAGGTATTCTGAGAGAGCTGTGTGTACGATACCTACAAGAAAAGGTTTGCTTTTGTTTTGGGTGACAGGGAGAAGCCCTTCACCTCTGAGAGAGGAAACGTCTTCTGTTTAGTTAGTGCCTGGATGGCAAGGGTTTTATTTTGATGTTTTGTTTATTTTGATAATTGTTGCAAACCTTTTAAATAAAACTGACAACCAGTCAGAGTTTTACAAAAGCCTGCTGTGCGGTCTACCTTTTTCCCAGGGAAGGAGATCCCCCACCTGAGCTAACCCCACAATATATATATATATATATATATATATATATATATATATATATATATATATAGTTTTTTGATAATTAAAACATTTCTTTTAGGAATTTGATGATACAAATTTGATGTTTTTTGCACAGTGATTTTGTATATATGAATTAGATATGTTAGTTATTTATCGCACGGTGACACTTTTTTAGTGTATTGACACTGTTTGCACGTAGCACTTTTTTATAGGTTTGTTATATTTGTAGTGGTTTGCACATTATTTTGGATAGTTACATTTCAGGGGTGTCAGGTAGCACTGTTTAATTCCTTGTATTTTGTTATACTGCTTTAGGGCCGCCAAAGATAAAATAGTTGCTTCCTCTTTTCTTTGGTGGTACCCATGTAGTCACATCTGGTGTCACCATCCACAGTGGGTTATTTGTAAGTTCTGAATATGACTGGTCCTGCCTAGACCAATGTAAGTATGCATATACCATACTTGTGGGATGTTCATTTACAGCAACCACTCCATAGAAGAGAACAGAGGTTCCGATCAGACCCGCCTGAAAAATGGACATGTGGACCCGATCAGAATATTTGTATAAAAAGGGGCCTAATTGTAGGCTGCTATTACTGTAGGTTTTCAGCCTGTTACTACAAATTCTCCTCACAATAAATTTTTTTTCACAGAAGAGTTAACCACAAAGAAGAAGTTAATGCACTTTGAACAAGTCTCATTTCCACAATACAGCTTCACCTATTGTGTTTCATAACTATAATAGAATAATAAAATGATTTACCAGTACATACTCTTGCTTTGTTTTTCTAATGACTCCCTGTAGAAAATGAGCCTGAGTGGTGTGTGACCTATTGATTTATGAACAGTGGATTACAGCCTAATGCAGGCCACAGACGGGGAGAAAAACGGCCAATTTTTCTTTTAAAAAATGAAAAATTGGTCGTTCAAGCGGCCGACGTCACCAGCAATGGTAAAAAAAAAAAAATCGGCCGATTTTCATCCCGTCTACAGCCAGCAAAAAGTGTCCCTGCAGAGAGCTCTGCTATTTCTTTGACAGTTCATTGACATTTACAGCGGTTGCAACAATGTATCTATTTGTATCCATTTAGGATACAGATGTTTTTATTCGGAAACAAATAGATATAATGTTGCAACCACTGTAAATGTCAAAGCACTGTCAAAGAAATAGCGGAGCTCTCTGCAGGGACACTTTTTGCCGTACTGGAATTCCTCTTATTTTTCATCCTTCTTCTTCCTCATCCTCTTCCTCATCTTCTTCTTTATCATCATCATCATCCTCTTCTTCTTCTTCTTCTTCATCATCTCATCCTCTTCATCATCTCTTCTTCTTCTTCTTCTTCATCCTCATCTTCTTCTACTTCATCTTCATCATCCACTTCTTCTACTTCTTCATCATCATCATCCTCTTCTTCTACTTCTTCATCATCATCCTCTTCTCCTTCCTCTTCTTCTTTTCCTTCTTTTGTCTTCCTCTTGCAGGTCACGGCTCATGCGCAGATTTTTTATCGGTAAAAAATCGGCCGATTTGCCCATCATTGCTGCGAAAATTGGCCGATCGGCAAAATCGGCCGATTTTTTTTTTTTTTTTTTTTTTTTTTTTTTTTTTTTTTTTTTTTTTCTTCCCAACTTTACCGATAAAAAAAAATCTGCCAAAATACCGAAAAACGGCCAAACAAATAGCCCACTAACGATCCGAAAATCGGCCGATTTTATTTTCGGCTGAAAAATTGGCCGATTTTCGACCCATCTTTGGCCTGCATTAGGCTACGTTCACACAAGTTTTGTCAGCAGGCATCAGACAGGCATTTGAGAAGCATTTTTAACGCTTCTCAAACGCCTGTGAAAATTCTGCACATGGCAGCACACAGTGCTGTTCACACTGAAGCATTAGCAAAATAGACGCCTATTGTCCAGTCAGGAGTTGAAGCCTCCCATTCAAGTCTATGGTGCCGCTCCTCAAACGCCTGGCAGGCATTTGCAACACGGTTGCAAGTCGGTTGCGGAGCGTTAATACCATTTAACTTCATTATAGGTGTTTGTGGTGCAGCTTTAATGCTTGGCAAATGCCTCAAAACCGAGCATAGAGCATTTGGGAAGCATCCCAAACGCCTGCCTAGTGCCTGTGAAACACTATAGGGGCTTTTGGCAAGAGTTAGAAATAAAGTCAAGTGTGAACGAGCCCTTAATAAGCTATCAAATAACAGTGCTACTAACCTCTTAAAATTCAGTTTTGAAGTTTTGGGTGATTATTGCAATGCAAAAAAGTTTCTGCATGACAAACGTGAAAACGTCATTCAAATTTTGAGGGTGTGGAAAATTTTATCAACGGTACTGCCAGAGGGATCGCTTGAATATTAAAATAAAACAATGTTTTATGTAGCTACTAAATTATGACTAAACACATTTTTTTTTTTTTTTAGTTTTGGATAGAGTGGAGAAGAACTAGAACAACTGTCAGGTTTTTATTTCTATCTGTGCCCCCATTATGGAGATCCTTTCGGTCCTGTTTACCATTATCACAAAAAACTGCATTCAGAAAACTAATTGGAAATGTATAGTATCTGAGCGGTTTCCCTGCATCCTCCAACACACCAGTCCACTTATCACATTTCCAGTCCAGGCCTGGCTGGGGAATAAGTAATAAATAAAGCTCATTAACCACTTGCCCTCCAGAAGATTTACCCCCCTTTCTGACCAGGCCATCGCTGTACCCAAATTAAATTTACGTCCTTTTTTCCCACAAATAAAGCTTTCTTTTGGTGGTATTTGATCACCAGTGCGTTTTTATTTTTTGCGCTATAATCAAAAAAAGACTGACAGTTTTGAAAGAAAAACTATATTTTTTTACTTTTTGCTATTAAACATTTCCATTTAAAAAATGAAAAAAATCAAATTTTGTCATAACTTTAGGCCAAACGTATTCTGCTACGTCTTTGCTAAAAAAAAAAAATCCCAATACATGTAAATTAATTGGTTTACGTGAACGTTATAATGTTTACAAATGGCGGTATATATACACTGGAATTTTTTTTTTCACTAGTAATGGCAGCAATCAGTGACTTATAGCAGGACTGCAGTGGGCATTCTGACACTGGGGGGAACTGACTTGGTGTCACTGACATCCCAATACAGTAATCAGTGCTAAAAAGCACTGACATACAACTAATGGCACTGGGCAGGAAGGGGTTAACATGTGGGTGATCAAAGGGTTAACAGTGTGCTTTTTTTACTATTTGTGCTGTGTGTGTGCTTTACACTGTAAGCACACTGCTTTGTATGGTTCTGCATAGCAGAGCCATACAAAGCAGTGCACAGGAGCTGACAGAGGAGAGATCTGTATTGTTTATATTCAGGGCTCTCCCCCATTGGAAATCCTCAGAGTTCGCCCGGTGCCGGTGGGGAATCACCAGCCGGGACTCAGTGATCAACAGCCGAGGCTGTGAACGGTGCGCGGGTAGGGCGCATGCATGCGGAACTGCAAAATCACATATATATATATACACGTGATTTTGCACACCTGTGCTGCCCTGTAGCAGTATTTCGGAAACCG